TGTGTGTGAGTTTGTGTGTGTGTGTGTGTGTGTGTGTGTGTGTCTGTGTGTGTGTCTGTGTGTGTATGTATATTACGGACAGCAATATGTTATTTCTAACATGTCAGTGAGGCGGCAGTAAAAATAAACTTAGGCACTAGGCACACAGGCTACCCACGTCTAGAAAGTACGAACGAACGAATTAATCAGATAGCACAAATAGGACAACTTTTTACTATAAATGAGTCCTTTTTCGAGTTTTGAAACTAAAAAAGAAATTGACACCAACATGCATACCAAACACCAAACAGGACGAAATAAAACCCACACATACACTTTTCACTTTTCCGAATTCAGTGACAAAAAGTTGTAAAAACCAAGACGGAAACTAGCGAAGCACAGCAAGCAGATGTTAAGATTGTGAAGAATACCAAGTCGAAGTGCTTTTCAAAAAGATTTTAGTTCGATGAAAGGTAAGTAACGGAGAACTGTTTGGATGGGGGGGAAAAAGCTGATTGACACACTAACGGTCATTCAGTGTAGGGTAGAAGCAAAGGCAGACAGACAGAAACAACAAAGGGTAAGAAAATAGGGTAAGACGTTCCAAAAGTGCTCATCAACCTCCTGCTAGATAACAATGACTTGACATACATCTCCTACAGATATAAATGGGAGTGCAGAAAAACCTTTAATTTGATTTGAATAAAGCACATCGACACAATAACAGTCATTTAGTGCATGGAAAAGGGTAAAATTGCGAGATGGACATACAGACAGAAATGGCAGAAGGAAAAAAGGACCTACCAGTGGAGCCTTCCAACCACCCACCTAAACAAAAATACTGACAAAGTTAAAAGGCGGTTCTTTCAAGTGTAGTGAACCTCATCAAGGCCTGGTAGTAATTGTGCTTCAGAGAAAAGAAGAACAATAATCCAAACAGCTCGCAAAGGCTGAAAGGCTACTAATTGTACGTGTTTTATACCTCAATTAATACAAATTTTAGAGATCAAATTCCTTTGCCTGTCCGCCTGGGCGTCCCTACCTCTGTGGGGATATGTCTCAGCACAAAAGCTCCTCCCCTTGTTTCAAATGTATGGGTCTTTACGCCCCCATCGACACAATCTAGGTCATTAAGAGGCAGGTTTCGACCAACCCCGGCTAAGTGGGATACAACATCCCAGCAGAAACACTGGATAAAACTTTTCCCCACTCGGGAATCAAATTCGAATCTCTTACGTACGACGGTAAAGCGCCAAAACGCTTCACCACAGACATGGTATCCCCTTGTGGGAATGGAACTCGTGCATTTTGTGCGCAGGATGAAAACATCAATCCGTAACACAACGGATGCAGACCAATTTGCACAGAACAGAATATGGGAATGTGGAAGAAGCAGACCACACTACAGCGCCACCAACCCAAAGACCCACATTTTTTTAAGGTGGTTCGGCAGAAAGTTACAAAACATACATACATTCCCCTTACATACATTCCCCTTGAAAGTATGTTTTCTTTAAGAAACCCAGCACAATGAGAGATGTACAGGAGCTACACATTTAACTAGTTACACCTAAAATATACATGGAATGGAAAACATTAGGAACATTACCATGAAAAGAAATGAACAAACCCAAAAAACATGCCTTGCTTTAATAAAGAAAAGCACGTCGACACGACAACGGCTATTAAATGCACAAGAAAAAACGACAAGATAAGACAAAAATTACAGAAGGGGGGGGGGGTCAGATAGAACAATGAGAGAGAGAGAGAGAGAGAGAGAGAGAGAGAGAGAGAGAGAGAGAGAGAGAGAGAGAGAGAGAGATGAAGCAAGGTCTACTAGCGGCGCCCTCCGACGAACCGACTTGGAACCTCAAATTTGTAACCAACAGAGCCAAAGACAACTGTCGGGTCAACGAGTGAGTAGCAACCGACGGCAAAGCACACACACACACACACAGAGCAGGTGAGCAAGTGCTGACACAACAGACAGTGCTACTCAACGGTAAAGGAAAAACAACAAACACGCGCGCACACAAACACACACACATACACACACACACACACAGAGCAGGTGAGCAAGTGCTGACACAACAGACAGTGCTACTCAACGGTAAAGGAAAAACAACAAACACGCGCGCACACAAACACACACACATACACACACACACACACACATACACATATACATACATACATGCGTACATACATACATACATACATACATACATACATACATACGTACATACGTACATACGTACATACATACATACGTACATACGTACATACGTACATACGTACATACATACATACATACATACATGCGTACATACATACATACATACATACATACATACATACATACGTACATACGTACATACGTACATACATACATACGTACATACGTACATACGTACATACGTACATACATACATACATACATACATGCGTACATACATACATACATACATACATACATACATACATACATACATACATACATACACAAATTCAGGTGCGCACACTCAAAAACACACATACACACGCTTATGCGCGCGCACGCGCACGCACACACACACATACAAGTGCGGACACACAAAAACACATATACATGCTTATTCACGCATGCGCACGCACGCACACACACACACACACACACACACACACACACACACACACACACACACACACACTAACACACTAACACACACACATTCGATCAACTTTTTACAACTCGTTGAGGGTTGAAAAAAAAAAAACCAACAACACATTTTAATGAATAAAACAGAGCAGAAGCATCTGTAGAACAGTGTTACCTGATTCATACATATCCAGGGGGCTCTCTGTGCATGGGATAAAGGACAGAGCAAAAAATAAGATTTCTCTAAGAATTGCTTTCTAAAAGAGTGACTTAAAATACCCAAAACGCATTTTGGGGGGGGATAAGACCCTAGAAGCTCACAGAATAAATACATTTGTAATAAATGTCATATGAGAAGCTTTTCGGGGGTTCTTTATTTTTCTTCTTTTTTTTTTTTGGTACGACCCTTTCATCCATACACTAAAATACTCAAATTCTCTAAAGAAGACCCTGGAACCATTTGGGGTCTCTTAGTGTCACATATACAATGAGAAAAATTCTCACAGAATAAATACATTTGTTATAAATGTCATGTCCTAATAAATACGAGAAATTCAGTTTTTAAAAAAGAAAGGATCGCAGGTATATCTTTCTTTCATTTTTCTCTTTTCGATCTTCTATTTTTGCCTTGTCTCACTCAAATGCTCGCCTGTATTTTTATATTTCATGCCACTATGCTCTTTTGTCATTTCATTTTTTCTGTTTTGAAAAAAAGATGGGAAAATGCCAGCAGTTCAAAAGTGCTCACCGTGTGCTTAACTACTGAGAAAGCAATCTACAAAGCAGGGTTCAATAACAGAAGGCAGGGGTCAAAAAAATAAATAAACGGTCTAAGTTACCTTGTGGTTATTTAAAGAAAAAGAAAAAAAAACCCAACAGCAGCAAAAGAGCTGGACTTAATCATGATAATACATTAGACATGCACTGCCTTGTTTGGGGAATCTGTAAAGGCCACCATTTTAATTTAAATCATCCAGTCATTTTATGCAAATACTACGTGTCGTCATTCTAAAGGGTTCTTTTTGTGTGGAAAATATGACTTACACCTACTACTTTTTTTTCTGGCCCCTTCCATTTCAAGTAAATAATTTACTTTTCAGAGGCTCACAAAAGAAAATCAAGTGCTTTCAACAACTTGCCATCAGAAATTCATTAATCACAATAAGACCGCTGGTTTGTATTTCACCTTCCTTACGGTTGATCACTTCATGAATTTGTATATAGACAATTGCCGTGAATAAAACTTGCTAGAGCACGCAAAACTTTTTTTTTTTTAATGTGGGCGTTTTACACTCCCCATCGACAGTTTAGATCATTTAGATGGCGAGCTTTGACCCTGCCTGTCAGGGACAACCTCAACAGAGAAGGATACAACATCACAGCAGAAGGGCTGAGATACTCGAAAAATAGTTATCCCAACATGGGAATTGAACGAACCACAAGACCAAAGACGCTGGTATCTAAGACATTTATCCAATGAGTAGCTTAAGGGCTCCTGTAATCATAGCTTTTATCTTTTTTTTCTTTCAGTCGAGTTATTTATAACTGGTCTTACTTTCAAAACTCGTCAAACTGTAGAAAAGTACAGCAAAGTTCTATTGGAGATTCATTTTTACTATGCACAATAGTAAGACGAGCAAGGATCAAAAAAAGGAAAAGAGAAAGAGAAACAAGACTTCTAAGAAAGAAAAACCAATATCATGCACTGAGATAAACACATGAAGACAGATGATCTGAACATATGAACACAGATGAGCAGAAATCATAAAGAAAGATTAACTGAACACATGAAGAGGGACAGACTGAACAATGAAGATAGGTAAACTGAACTCAAGGAGACTCAAGAGCCGAACATAAAAAGAAATTAACAGAACACATAAATGAACACAGGAACTGAACAGGAAGACATACTCCCTGAAAACATGAACTGAAGGTGAAGACTGGTGAACTGAACATATGAAGACACACAACACAGCAAAAACAGGCCATCTCCACAAAAATCCTCCCATCTCTCGAAAGCAAACAAAACAGCCTGACTACATAGACAATGGGAGACTATCCTGGCAGAATTATAGGCAACCTCAAGAAGGTGGTTGCTATGACAACTGTACACACTCACCGAGGTATCTTCCCTTGACATGGCGAGACTGGGGCAGAAACTTGTCAGAGCTCACTGATGGCTGGAGCTGTGAGGGAGACAGTGCCAGGGGAATGGATGAGAGTAAAAGCAAGAAATATACACGTAAAAACAACAAACAAACAAACAACAACAACAACAACAGCAGCAGCAGCAGCAGCAGCAGCAGCAGCAGCAGCAGCAGCAGCAGCAGCAGCAGCAGCAGCAACAGCATCAGCAACAGCAACAGCAACAGCAACAGCAACAGCAACAGCAACAACAACAACAAAATGCTCAACAACGATGGGAGAAAAAAATGACAAGAAGAAAGGAGTGAAAAAAAATAAAAATAATGAAGAAATAAAAACATAAAGATTTCAAACATCATAGGATTTTCAGTTGTGCTGATCATATACAGTGTATTTATAGGTCAGTGAGGAAGAATGGAAAGGAAAAAAAGGATGGGGGGAGGTCAGGGGTCTGTTCTCTCTTTCTTTACTTGACCTATGAACTATTCCTTTAAAAAAAACTTGGGATGTGAACTGTGGACAGAACAGTTACACATTTTTGCCAAAACTGCCATTTAAGCAGTGAAAACTTGCTTCGTAAAATTAACACAACACATCATTATTAAAGTTTTATCACAGGTAGGCTAATACAGACAATAAATAAGTGAATTACTTCATCTTATTTAATTTAGCGTAACACATTACTATTATAATTTTATCAGGCAACACACACAGTAAAGACAAAATATATCTGTGACTCACTCGTGCATCTGACAGCTTATCAGTGATAGTGTGTACAGGCTGCGCAGCGTTCTGTATCTGGCTATCACGATTCTCTCGAGCTTTTTTCTTGCCAAGAGTGCTCGACTTGATGCGCTCAATCTCGCTTTGAGTCGTGGCATTCAGGAACTGGAAGGTAGAAATGGTAGGACAATGTGAGACATTGATTGTGAATGCTCCAGGTCATAATCGACACAATTGACTGCTTCAACCCTACCAGCAAGGGCCAACACGGGCTGAAAGAGAAACAGCATCCGAGACTTATTGTATACTTGTTACTCTCTTTTTGACACAATTTTGGTGAGTTAAGAGGCGGGCTGCTTCACTCTGCCTGTTATGACCAACCCTAGCTGAGGAGAATACAGCTTCTTAGAAACAAATTAGGGAAAAACTCAATAAAATGTACTTCCCAGCACTGGGATAGAGCTGAGGTCTTTTGTGTGCGACGTCGAAGAGTGTAACCAATGCACCATGAATGGCAGTCCCAGTACTAAACTGACTCAATAGCGTGTAGAAACCATTTGAAATTCCCTCTGAGTGTGATATGGGACAAGTGTGATGCTTTTTATAAACTTTGTATACTAGGTTAAGAGGCGGGATCTATGGAATAATCATTCATCTTTGTTAGTAGCAAGTCTTAAACGAGCTGAAAGCTTTAAAAGCATGGTAGATATTTTATAGTGTGGTTTGGTAAATATAGTAAGGTATTCTGTGGTTTGATAATATAAAATATGGTGTGGTTGGTATAGTCAACAGTATGGTATGGTAGGTATACAATGGCACAGTAAGTTATGGGGTGGTGTTGTGTGATGTGGTGTGGTGTGGTGTGGTGTGGTGTGGTGTGGTGTGGTGTGGTGTGGTGTGGTG